TAATACTATAACACTATATTTTTCTGGAGTCAAAACACTGAGAAGTAGAAGAGGGCCCTACTTATACAGCAAGTTAGGGTCTGAGTTACCACTGTAAAGTGTAAATCATTGTGAATCATAGTCTTTTTCCACTTTCAAGTGCATATAAAAGTCTGACAACAATTTACACTATCATATATTAAGTGACAAATATAGCTACATCTAAAACATGCTTATACAGTACATACACACATTACTTACCTTAAAATATTTTCAACCTTAGTTTATAGTGAATGGTGAATATACTGTAGGAAGTCTGAATAAATGAAGAATGGGTATGACTGAAAACTGCTGTATTAGCAAAATGCTATAAAGTGAAGTGATGTAAAACAGGGCCTGCCTGTATTATTTGTTTTCACAAATTGGGGCATGTGCAGTTGTGTTCCATTTTTTTATAAATCTTTAAACTTCAAGGGTTCATAACTTTTGGTTTTATAGAGGAAGACTGCAAGAAATTTGTGATAACCAGCTTCACAATTACAAAGGGAACATCAGTAGGCCAGTAGCAAAATTTACTACATTATTACACAAACACTAAACTCTCTTATAAAGATACTCTACATAGTGTGATTTTTATGTAAGTGCAATTGAGAGAGTGCAAGCAAAACTGAATACCGTATATTGTGAAGGCCTTTCCACACACTGTTCAATTCTGGATGTACCTTGTCCATTGTATTTCCATATTGCCCTACTGTATACAGAAGAGCTTTGTAAGACAGCTATAGAGTCCTTGCTTTTCTTTTAGCACACATTCTATATTTCATTGTACATATGATCACAACTTGAAGATGTGCCATCATACTTTTCTTGGCAGTGATGCATAAAAATTTTTAAATAATGTATAATTTTGTGTTTATCTGCTGAAAGACTTTTCATTTTGGAACAACACACATGTACATACTGCATGTATGAAAGTTCAGTTTGGCCTTAGAATCTAATCATTATATTAAGCCTGTGTGAGGGATACTAACCAAGCCTAGACTGTTAGGCTAGCCTAGACTTCTGAAAAATCATTAAAATTTAACTGCAAAACAGTTGTTCATTATTTCTGTAAGTAAAATAAATATCAATAGTATTATTGTACATGCATTATTATTATTATTATTATTATTATTATTATTATTATTATTATTATTATTATGATGTTGAGTCAGTGTTTTATAGTGAAAATATTATGAAAGTGATTCATGCTGTTTATTAACTGGAAATATGTTACACATTTTACTAGTAAAATGATATGTACAGTAATTTTGTAAATCTAACCGGATTAGGTGAAAAATAAAAATAATGATGGAAATTTGCTAGGATTTCTCTTACCAATGAAATAAGCTGGCATATAAGAAGGGTTAATTTTCCCTTTTGGCCTGGTACTGTCGGGGAACACACTCCTTTTTCACAATTATTGTTACCTTTATTACCCTCAATATAATGGACCTCTGTACAACAAATTTCAGAAATATGAAACAAAAGCCCCTTGGTTAATCAGTTCAGTATACCAGAACAGCCTCCAAGTATACCTTCTGGTATACCTGGAGGCTGTTCTGGGAGTCATCGCCCCCTCAGCCTGGTCCATGACCAGACCTCTTGTGGTTACAGAAATGTCCGTTATTAGCATGATGGCAAAGCAATCTTATTCTCTGTCCACAATAATTACCATTTTATTGAGGTTTTATTATATTAAGGGTTTATTATTAACTCACTGGCTTTTCTTCTTTTTACATTTAGTAATTATTATTATTATTATTATTATTATTATTATTATTATTATTATTATTATTATTATTATTTTTATTATTATTATTATGTCCATGGAGAAATGCTAAACCCATAGAAATCATAAAGCACCTGAAGTATGGGATGGGTAGGGATAAATGAGCTTGATATGAGGAAGGAGAGGGTAGAATTAATTACTTGGATCAAGAGCCCTTCACTAGCATCAAAATATCTTCCATGGAAGGGTCCTCTTTGATAAGCCAGTTCCAGAACTTCCTGGTCCCTTTTGGCAAGATCAACAACTTTGTTAGAAAGCACTGCAGATTGCAAAAGAAATTTTGTGCTTAAATTTTCCTTAGTTAAGATTATTGGTAATAAGCATATTTCCCAGTGGTCAGTTACTTGGATGAAAAAAGTACAAGAAATCTACAATAAATGAATGCACATAGGATTAGTCTTGAGGCCAGACAGAGTGGTCAGTCAGGCAAGTGCAGTGATCTGCTGATGTTAACAAAGGAAGGAAGAGTTCCCACCTCATTCGTGGATTTGTTAGGGTTTTAGTTATTTGCAGTATACTACATACATTAGTTCAGCTAAAGTTACCTTAACCTAGTTGAACCTAATGTAGAACAACTGAACCCATGAAGTGAGGATACGAACTCTTAACAGAGCCTGACCAGGACTCCCTGGTGCCTGACCAGGACTCTCTGGTGCCTGACCAGGACTCTCTGGTGCCTGACCAGGACTCTCTGGTGCCTGACCAGGACTCTCTGGTGCCTGACCAGGACTCTCTGGTGCCTGACCAGGACTCTCTGGTGCCTGACCAGGACTCCCTGGTGCCTGATCAAGACTCTCTGGTGCCTGACCAGGACTCTCTGGTGCCTGACCAGGACTCCCTGGTGCCTGACCAAGACTCTCTGGTGCCTGACTAGGACTCTCTGGTGCCTGACCAGGACTCTCTGGTGCCTGACCAGGACTCCCTGGTGCCTGACCAAGACTCTCTGGTGCCTGACTAGGACTCTCTGGTGCCTGACCAGGACTCTCTGGTGCCTGACCAGGACTCCCTGGTGCCTGACCAAGACTCTCTGGTGCTTGACCAGGGCTCTCTGGTGCCTGACCAGGACTCCCTGGTGCCTGACCAAGACTCTCTGGTGCCTGACCAGGACTCCTTGGCCCCTGACCAGGGCTCTGAGTGTGGTTGTGACCCTGACATACCAAACAAGTATTAACCTGTGTATGGTAAGCCCTCAGTATTTAAGAATTTAAACCTTTTAAAGCAATATTACTCATAAATACATCAACCTCCTACATTTTTGCTTAAAAATAAGGTCATAAATCCTTGACCTGTTCTCAACTGCATAAAGTATATATAAGAGGCTAGCACAGTTAGACTCAAATTTGAAAGTTTTCAATAAAGTTTAGGAATTTATTGTTTAATAAAAAAACTTATTCTACCTACACTTTGGATAATGTAAGTAAATTTTTTTTTAGACCAATACATGAGTTGTACAGATGATAATTTTCTTAAGTATACTGCAACATATCTGATGATTAGATACAAAAATTATGGCTCCAAAATTTTAATGAAGCCTTCTTTTTCTATATTATGACATGAACCCCTGATTAAGATGGGCGTCCTCTACAGGTGAGGCTGATCACTGACGCTCACACGACCGGCTGGAGGGAGACAGCAGGAGCGGGAAAGATCCCCACTTCATCCAGTAAGGTGTTGAAGTGTCCTTACTGTAATTATACCACCAATGTAAACACAAATCTGAAGAAACATGCACGCACTCACACTGGGGAGAAGCCCTATGCCTGTCCATATTGCCCATTCAGAGCATCTCAGACTGAAAACCTTAAGAGACATATTCGTACTCATACCGGGGAAAAACCATACGCATGTCAGTTCTGTTCTTATCGTTCTACTGAGAAGAGCAGCTTGAAGAATCATATATGGGTCCACCATTCATCAGGTAATCTGCATATCATTCATGATTCAAAATAAAAAGATGTTTGTAAAAAATACAAGTTACTATGACCTGGAAACTTTTTTTGTTTGATTTCATTTGCATTGCAAATAATAAGACATTTTAATATTGTTTTTAATGGATTTCAAACAACTTTTTACCTAATAATATTGAATGATATCACACACAAAGTGGGAGTTGTCACAGCTGCTCTTTGCTGATGACACTGTGCTCTTGGGAGATTCTGAAGAGAAGTTGCAGAGATTGGTGGATGAATTTGGTAGGGTGTGCAAAAGAAGAAAATTAAAGGTGAATACAGGAAAGAGTAAGGTTATGAGGATAACAAAAAGATTAGGTGATGAAAGATTGAATATTCAGATTGGAGGGAGAGAGTATGGAGGAGGTGAACGTATTCAGATATTTGGGAGTGGACGTGTCAGCAGATGGGTCTATGAAAGATGAGGTGAATCATAGAATTGAAGAGGGAAAAAGAGTGAGTGGTGCACTTAGGAGTCTGTGGGGACAAAGAACTTTGTCCTTGGAGGCAAAGAGGGGAATGTATGAGAGTATAGTTTTTACCAACGCTCTTATATGGGTGTGAAGCGTGGGTGATGAATGTTGCAGCGAGGAGAAGGCTGGAGGCAGTGGAGATGTCATGTCTGAGGGCAATGTGTGGTGTGAATATAATGCAGAGAATTCGTAGTTTGGAAGTTAGGAGGAGGTGCGGGATTACCAAAACTGTTGTCCAGAGGCTGAGGAAGGGTTGTTGAGGTGGTTCGGACATGTAGAGAGAATGGAGCGAAACAGAATGACTTCAAGAGTGTATCAGTCTGTAGTGGAAGGAAGGCGGGGTAGGGGTCGGCCTAGGAAGGGTTGGAGGGAGGGGGTAAAGGAGGTTTTGTGTGCGAGGGGCTTGGACTTCCAGCAGGCATGCGTGAGCGTGTTTGATAGGAGGAATGGAGACAAATGGTTTTTAATACTTGACGTGCTGTTGGAGTGTGAGCAAAGTAACATTTATGAAGGGATTCAGGGAAACCGGCAGGCCGGACTTGAGTCCTGGAGATGGGAAGTACAGTGCCTGCACTCTGAAGGAGGGGTGTTAATGTTGCAGTTTAAAAACTGTAGTGTAAAGCACCCTTCTGGCAAGACAGTGATGGAGTGAATGATGGTGAAAGTTTTTCTTTTTCGGGCCACCCTGCCTTGGTGGGAATCGGCCGGTGTGATAATAAAAAAAAAAAAATATTGAATGAAACCCATTATATATAAATTCTCTGTAGCAGTAATAACCTGGCATACCTTGATATATCTTAAAATTAGGAAATTTTCACTGATATATATATTTACTTAAACAGCAGTTAAATCACAACTTTTAAGTTTATTATGTAAACTTTATTAATATTTGTTATATTATGGATCTTATAACACCAAAGTTTCTCTTAAAAAAATGTATTTATATTTATAACCAGAGCTTAATTTGAAGGATATGTCTATATATTCCTTCAGGTTTTTCTGCAAGAATATTATTACAATGTGTACATTTCTATACGTACTTTTATTTTTGCATTTATAAGCAGTTCCAGTTATATTTTTTAATATTGTTCCAAATGATATTCATACAGGATGATACATTGTAAATACAATTTAATATACTTGTAACGATTGATAAATAAAACACGTGCAACAGTGGGGTATCTCTATTGCCAGCACTAAAGATACCAAAGTGTTGCACACGAGTCTTATTCAACAAATTGTTGGTATTGTATACCATCAATAATATAATTGTCAGTCACTGTCTGGTGACCTCAAAGCAGAGAGAAAGCAAGTGCTCCACCCTGTGTAAAGTTCCTTCATTTTGCCTGATAAGTTTTTACAGGTGAAGTTTGAAATGCAGTGAGCAGACTTCTCCATAGACCTATTATGTACTCTTTGGGTGAGGAATTTCTATTTGTCTTTCTAGTTATGTGCTTTTGCAAGGTTCAAGTTGTTGAAATAAATAAATAAATATTGTATTAGTTTTGTGTGTTTGTAAAAAGTGTCGAGGTTTCAATCTGGTGACATTCCTTCATGTCACTTTTTAAGGGCAAACACAACACCAAACAAGATTCAGGATAAGAAGGTCACAATGTTGTGGAGTCTTAGCTCACGGCCAAGAGGAAATCTTATGTGGTGTTGGGTCGGCTAGTAAAAATGTGATTTAGGCATCAGTAGAGGGCATTCACAAATCCAGTGAATGAGTGAGTAACACTTGTGACCTAGTACCATAGTAATGAGAGTCCCTTGCATCAGAGAGGCTGCTAGATCAGTGTATTCCTTACACACACAAAATTTTGTTTATTATTATTTCATTTCAACACACCAACCATCTCCCACCGAGTCAGGGTGACCTAAAAAAGAAAAACAAAAGTTTTTTCTTTTTTTACTTGTAATAATTTATACAGGAGAAAGGGTTACTAGCCTCTTGCTCATGGCATTTTAGTCACCTTTTACAACACACATGGCTTACAAAGGAAAGATTCTTTTCCACCTCTCCATGGAGATTATTATTATTATTATGAAAAAAATGCCAAACCCATAAAAGTTATAAAGTTCACCCACAATTTTTATTTCTTCTGTGGTCTATATATCCCTTGTTAAAATGTAGATGATCTGTTATATACTATACAGCACATGTTAAGGTCTGTATGTAACTATACACATGTCTCATTCATCAGTATACTGGTGTGATGCATCATCAACCCAGTTGATTTTGTTGTACACAGATACAGAGTGCATCTAATTTAAATGAGCTCTGTAATAGATGCTCTTTGCTGGGAAATTTTCAAGAGAAACTACAGAATTTGGAAGTGTTTGGAAGGGTGTGCAAGGAAGAAAATTGAAAAGAGACAAGTAATGACCATAAGAAAAAATAAATGAAATATCACACTGGAAGGAAATAACATGAACAAAGTGAATATGTTTAGATTTGTGGGAGTGAATTTGTGGGCAGTTAGGTCTATGAAAGTGAAATGCAGAACAGATGTGGGGAAAAAAAGGAAGCAGCAGGATGTTGAGGAGTCTGGGAGAAAAAAGGGGAAAGTATCAGGGTATAGTGGTGCTCTTGAATTTGTAAATGATGCGAAACATGGCCTTTGAATATTGCAGCAAAGAGGAGGCTCGAAGCAGTGGAAAGGATGTATCTATGATCAACATGTCTAAAATGTTATTCAGAAATTAAAGAGTTAATAAACTAGAATACAGTGGGATGTTTCATGAAAGTCATAATTCAGAGAACAGATGAAGGATGGATTGTGTGAAAAGCTCATGTATGGTGAAATCATGATCACAGAACTTATTTCTAAAAAAATAAAAAAAGGGAGAATACATTTCAGGCCCTTGTGACCCCACATACAGTGGTACCTCGAGTTACGAGCTTAATTCATTCCAGAAAGCTGTTCAAGTGCCGTTACCGAACGATTTTGTTCCCTTAAGGAATAATGTAAATTAGATTAGTCCGTTTCAGACCCCCAAAAATACACTTACAAAAGAACTTACAAAAATACACTTACATAATTGTTTGAGTTGGGAGCTGTTCAAAAAACTTCGAGGGTAACACTGTATGTATTTACTGTATCGGTCAAACCTTCCAAACTACATCCTCTGGGTCATTGGTGTTGTGCATCTGACTTGCTGGTGCCCAAAATTGATTTTCTACAAACAATTGTAGATCCATGTTTTCTTTGTAACATAATTATATTCCACTTTACCATTTTCCTTCTTTGATTTATACAGTATTTCATATCTAATGGTTCTAAACTTCTGCACATTACATTTCTTCCCCAAGAATCCCTTTAAACCCCACTGATTTACTTAAGACCTGCCACCACAAAATAAATACCAGTGTGGGGAAATAAATACCAGTGTGGGTAATAAATACCAGTAAGAGTAATAAATACCAGTGGGGGTAATAAATACCAGTGTGGGTAATAAATACCAGTGTGGGTAGTAAATAAATGTTGTCATACAGTATCAATCCCTTTTATGACCACCACTCACGAAGGTAAGTACAATCTAAAATACGGTGAAACCTCTCATTAATGGATTAATAGGGGGAGGGGGTGTATGATAATACCAATTGTCTGCAACTCTTGAATTATAAAATTAATATTTCATGATCATGTGGATGTCTTCTGCAGTAGTGAACTTGGTCCACTGATGTGGAAAACAACCAGACTCTATGAATACAGGTATCATAAAACGTAGTATTACAGTACATATAGTACTGTATAGTAATTTTATAATACCCTACATAAATTATAGTAAACTGACAATTTATATTAAATTCACTTACCTTTTAATGGTAGAGTTGAGGTGTAAAATGCCGTGATTGATAGTGATGACTCAGGATAACATATATTCTGAATCAGAGGTGCTGTAAGGCAGACAAAGGTCGGAGTTAGCAAACTTGGCTTGATATTTCAGATGTTAGGTAAAAGAATCAGGTGCAAGTAATGTGACATTTTACTGTGGCAACATTTTGCCACAATAAAATTTCACATTAGTTGCATCTGTATCCTTTTGCCTAACATTTCAGAGGACAACAAGATACTATTTCTACAGACACAAAGTGGAATTATAAATTTCTGTCCTGTTAGTCCAATACTTAGTGCACTGTTTGGCCTATTTTTTTTGTCCAAAATTGCTAGAATTTATTAATGAAAGGTTTTATTGTACTCTGTATACAGAGTAAACATCTAAAATATTGCAAAAATTACTACCCCAGGAATATACAAAAGTGCTTCAGAAGGTTATGAGTATTTTTTTTGTGAACTAAATCACTTGCACTTTTTAATTAATTATTATCAGTGTAAGGGTGTGGTGTGTGTGTGTGTGTGTGTGTGTGTGTGTGTGTGTGTGTGTGTGTGTGTGTGTGTGTGTGTGTGTGTGTGTGTGTGTGTGTATATACATATATATATATATGTTTGTATAAATAAAGATCCTTTCTTTGAAGCATCATAAATAAGCTAGGAATTCCCTACAGGTGGGGCTGGACAGTGATGACCAAACGATTTGGAGTGGAGCGAAGGGAGCTGAGAGGAGCAAGACTCACCACTGTCCCTACTGCCCCTACAATACTAATTTTACATCACACCTACAAAACCACGTTCGAACGCACACAGGAGAAAAACCCTTCATTTGCCCATATTGTCCTTTCCGATTTGCACAGAAGGGAAGCCTACGGTCACACCTGCTGACTCACACAGGGGAAAAACCATATGCGTGTGCACACTGCTCTTATCGTTCTTCACGACATACTGCATTAAAAACACATATTTGGGCTCATCATATGTAGATTTTTCCTCTAATTCTTTCATCACTAGGTTTCATTTAATGCTTATTTAAAATTAGCCATATAAGTATCACCTCTGTTCTCTGGCTGAAAAAAATAACAAGAACTACAAATTAAAAATATAGCTAGTATAAATGCTTTAAACAGTAAATAGTATAATTTTTTATTACAAAAGCTTTTTAATTGATTAACTTTATGATTTTGTGAGGTACATGAAATTTAAAACCATTCTTACAGCATAAATGAACATTTTTGACATATGGGTAAAGTATAATTTATTCTCACTTTTATGGCTAATCAGCTTATGATATTTCAATTTTCACAAGTAGCTGCCTCTTTTCTTTATCGCATTTCAATGTATACTATTAAAATTCACATTAAAAAAAAGTTTATCATAAATACCTGCTAATTGGTAAAATGAAGTCATTTTCTTTGCTATTTCAAAATACTATGCAAGATTATATACTGCTTGAGATATTCATTTTTTTATAGATATTCAGTAAATAGCTCCAGTAATATTTCAAACTTAAAAGTGTTACATTACATGCTAACACATGCACTGTACCACAGTTTACAAATACAAAACCAAGCAAATTTAAAATTTTAAAGGATACAGAATTAGTGCATTGTTTAAATGTATTTTAAGATTATCTTTAAACAACTGAATGTATACTTAAGACATAGTAGTTTTGTTATATAATTATTTATTTTCAACACTGTAATAAATCAATAGAATAAGACTAACTGCATATCTATAATGATGGATGAAAGTATTTTATATGATATACTATAACAGATTTTTAATATTAAAATATCCACTTAATATACCTGACTAAACTATTACTGTCAAAGTACTAATTGTTAATTATTTAACTGTATGCAGTGTATATATACTTCCATGTGTGTAACTAGGTGCAATGTATGTACAATACTCTATACAGCATTAGTAAAATCAAGCAGGTTAAATCAGGTATGGATGAACATTATTTATGCTGAACAAGCATCTTAGGTCCTGTGAGGCAAATTTACTTCCACTATGGAAATGTTGTGTGTGTGTGCTTCATGCTCCACCAGGGTTACTGTTCTGTTCCAAAATGGGAATCGTGGCATAGGGACAACATTTTACAGGAAGAGAATGCTTTTATTAGTGTACAATAATAGTATAGAATTATAGACAGCAGTGAAAGTGATACCATTCGTGATATTTTTTACATTATATATTGTAAAGAGGACAGTCAATAAAGTGAGTGCAAAAGAATAAGAAGCTTTTGGCTAAAAAGTATTGATGGTTTTGTCAAAAATTATATTATAGAGCAGAAAAAATTACAGTATATCACTGTGAATAAGTACTACATTTTATGTTTTAATGAAGACAATAAATGAATCAGTGCAAAGAACAAACAGAAATATACAACAGAGAGAGAGAGAGAGAGAGAGAGAGAGAGAGACTGCCTAAGTGAGAGTTTCTCTACGCAAGACAAACATCGTAGTAACTAGTAACTACTATACAGTATATGTTAAAACAATTTCTAATATAGTAGGTTCATATTTTATGAAGAATGTATTGATCATATAACAAGGAATTTATGAACATTTTACAAGCATGGTTGGTTCCACAATTGTGATAGGTCAGTGTGTAGCAGTTTCAATGAAAAGTGAACTTTATATACTGTATACTGTGTGTCACGTTGCTTCAGTACCATACACTGAAACATTGAACAACTAAGTTACTCAATTTATGTATATATAGTTTAAATAGTTCACTACCTATCCAAAAGGCAAACAAATATTTTATAATTATAGTATTATAATCTACCTTAATAAATAAAAATAATAAGCAAGACTGTGTCTACCTATGTTACTGTGTCTCAGGCCTGCCAGATCTTCACATCACTAATGGTAATATACTAATATTTTACATTCTATATGATTGTTTTTGCTGCATTTGACTACAGTATTGCATAAAAAAATGATCAGTAGGAGGGCTGGGTAAATATCCTACACTTTAAGACTTAATCAGAAAAAGGGCCCATAATTTAACAAAATAAATTTAGTATAAATTAAAATTAAATCCTTAACACCTCTTACTATTATTATTATTACTACAATCAAAACTAAGTGCTAAACCCAGAAAGGCCATACAATTCTGCATTTAACACCTGTAAAATACTGTATTTTTAATGTGTAACAATGTCATCATTTCTATTTCCTATCTAAACTGGCTACTGTATTTTTTAATTTTTTAATATTATCATTTACTGATGTTTACATAATTGGCCCTTAAGCTTTACTGCAGTGAATAATATAATTTTACATTTATTAGCCTTTTCTCTTTTATGTAACAATATAAATAGTGCATCTATGGTTTTGATTCTATATATTTATTTAGTTGTTTCAAAACATGAAAACTATTTTTTTTATCTCAATATGATCATACATTTTTAATGTAGTATGAATTATTCCACAATGGCTGCACAAAATCACTGACTCCTCAAAAATAATTACAACTGAGATCTTACACAGAAATGAATTCATGCCCTGACTGCCTAAAATAAAAGTGAATACCAAACAGAGAACTTATTATGCATGCATGATAAAGATGTAACTGTCCGACTGCTGCTCAGTGTACGATATTTTTGTAACAATTTCAGCTTCATATGATGGCAAGACACATGTACAAGTTAGGCAGCTTTATTCCAAAATATTTTGCATACACAACTGAAGAAGCATACTGTGTGGGCAAGACATTTTGGTATAAAGCTACCTAACTGTTGCACATGAGTGAGTCTTACTTATCAATTTGTCGGTATTGTATACCATTATCATATTCAGCTTCATATTCTGATAAACATTTTAGAAATACAGCTTATGACTTTTATAGTTATTTTATGTGGCTGGAGTAAGTATGTGAGGAAGTGGAAAGAAAGTATGCAGATATGGAGTAAATGTGAGAAGTGTGGAGTGTGAGGAAGTGTGGAGTTGGTGTGTGAGGAAGTGTGGAGTTGGTGTGTGAGGAAGTGTGGAGTGGTGTTAAATGTGAGGAATTGTGGTGAGGAAAGTGTGATGTAGGTGTGGAGGAAGTGGAGTTAGTGTGTGAGGAAGTGTGGAGTGTGAGTAGTGTGTGAGGAAGTGTAGAGTTAGTGTGAGGAAGTGTGGAGTGTGAGAAGTGTATGATATGTGAGGAAAGTGGCAAGAAAGTTGAAAGAATGCAAATATTTAAGAGAGTTGAAAATTGACATATATATGTGGAATTGTGGATGTAATGAGTGATGCAAAATTGCACTGCATGAACAGCAGCTACATATGCTAAGTAAAATTGACATTTATGGTTTATCTATCTTCATGAGGACAATGCTAGAAGCAGTAGTATTGTTAGAAACATTATATGCAAATTAAATACAACTCAATGGATAATTGGAAATAGTTTAAATTACAATAATAAAATGTACAGCTCAATGGTATAGCCTATTACTTTAAATAGTCTTCATGTATACATTAGTTTTTCTTCTATAGAACAGTATTATTCTTCTATCTTTGGGTAAATAAGTTTCTGCTACTCATGGTTAATACTGTGCATAGCATCACTTGTATACTGTACTTCACTCACAATGGGGGACTACAGTTGACTAAAGAAGTATATTTGTATTCATGAAATGAACTAAATCCTAAGAATGTTTTTCTTTTAAACTTATGTAACTGTGTTGTGTTATCACCAGTTTATGCATTCTGATTAATAATAATAATAATAATAAGTAATAATAACAGGAGCAAAATACACTTTTAAAGACAAGATGAGGGGGAAATTCTTAGGTATACACTGTGACAGTAATTTAAAATTTAACACCTAGCCAGCAGATATTCTGAAGAGATTTGTGTAATTGGTTCCTCAAATATCATCATCAGTTGGGCTGTTGTAAGTCAAATAATTATTTCCAGCAGGTTTATGTTATAAATGAGGGGTTCTGTTTCTGGGAACAAATTGCATATAATAAGATAAGCATTTGTTTTGAGGGGATAATGGGTTATCTCACCAAGGAAAGGTTAGGTTAGGTTAGGTTAGTAAGATTCATCAGGAAACAGGACGAGTGTTTCCTGATGCGGGTTTTACACATACGATGACCCGTCACTGCAGCTTTTGGTCGTCTGATTGAGGCCTTCTGCTGGCTCACTTGTTCACCCTTTTAAAAATTAAGGTTATTATTATAACCATTTGTAAGAGTAGTCATAAATACTGTAAAAGAGGGGGGGCAGACAGAGGCCTAAATCAGAAATTCGTAAATTATTGGTTGCCTGTATTTTATGATTTACATACTTATAGCCCAAATTATTTATTAATATATTTTTGGGCTAAGTATTTATTCATTTTTGGAGAAGATGTGGAAAATTATAATTTGCTTTATGTACTGTATTATTTTCCACTTTGCCATAGATGGCTGGACTGAACGTTATATGATTATTTTTATATGCTGTCCACTTAGCTACTTGTCAGGTAAATTTATTTATTTATTTATTAAATTTGGACATGATACATAGATGTACAAAGAAATACAGTGGTTAAGTGTAACATGCCAAAAGCCCCTTGTATGCAGAGCATTATGGGCAGGCTTAAAATTAACTTAAGATTAACTAAGCAATGATATATTCACTGGTAAAAATTATAGTAAACAAATAACAATTAAGCACAAATGAGTATTTCAAAGACAGGTCATATGGTCATTTACTGAGTTGCTGTGCATTCAGTAGAATGGAGTATTTGTTAGGTAATGTAATTAAAAAAAAAAAAAAAGTTTGATAGGGTCACAGGTTAAACATTTATGAGATACAGTTATTCAGTATTTATTTAGTTGTGGGTGAGTAAGTGATTTTTAAGAAGAGACTTGAATTTATAAACAGACAGTGTTTCTTTTATATTCACAGGTAATGAATTCCAGATTTTTGGACCTTTTATGTGCATTGAGTTTTTGCATAGTGTGAGATGGACACGAGGAACATCAAAGAGTGATCTGTGCCTTGTGTTATGGTCATGTGTTCTGTTGAGGTTGGTAAGGAGACGTTTGAGGAGGAGGGTTTATATCCGAGTTAAGTGTTCTATGTATGTAGTAGGTACAATAATAAGTATGGATGTTTTGTATGGTGTGTAGGTTTAGAGTTTTGAATATTGGTGGAGTGTGCTGCCTGTAGTGGGAATTTGTTATCATTCTGACTGCAGCCTTTTGTTGGATAATTAATGGTCTGAGATGGTTTATTGTTGTTGAGCCCCATGCACAAATTCCTTAGGTGAGATAGGGGTAAATAAGTGAGTGATATAGGGCCAGGAGGGCTGACTGTGGAACATAGTACCATATCTTCGATAATATGCCTACAGTCTTGGAAATTTTCTTGGAAATTTGTTGTACATGTGTTTGAAATTTGAGTCTATTATCAAGGTGGATTCCTAAGAATTTTCCCTCTGTGAGGTAAATATGCTGTAACTAGAAATTTACACTCATTTGTAAAATTCTAGTTACTGTAGTATATCATTAATTATATCAGTAGTATGGATTTAATATTTTGTGATTCATGTACAGTTCCCAAAATTCTTAAGAGGGCTTTTTTTTTTTGTTACAGAATTTACGAATTTATCTGAGCAAAATAAGTTACTTACCATGTATTGTTATCAGCAGATTTATACATCGAAAGTTACTCTATAGAGTATTTGTAAGTTTTCTGTATATTCTCTAAACAAGTTCTTTTTAACTTCATATGCAAAACTTTCAAAATTAGGTAAAACAAAGCAGATTGCTGAAACTAACAAATTATCAATGCAGCGTTACGCTAAAATTTAAGCATGCCTATATAGATGTTTAGACAATGAAAAGCTAAATAACGAAACTTGAAATTGTCAGGATGTATGACTTGTTCTCAGTATAACATGAGTAAGATGGGCATTCCCTACAGGTGGGCCTGGAGAGTGACGGCCAAAGGACTGGCTGGAGTGGATCCACAGGAGCTGGCAAGGGTACTGTCGTCCGATACAAGAATCACCAATGCCAGTATTGCTCCTACACAACCAATTTTACAACTAATCTCCTGAACCATGAGCGTACTCATACTGGAGAGAAACCATATTCATGTCCATATTGTCCTCTCTGCTTTACTCAAAAAGGAAGCCTGCGTTCTCATATTTTGATCCACACAGGAGAAAAACCTTTTGCATGCCCATTCTGTGCTTATCGTTCTTCAAGAAAGACCACATTGAAAGCTCATGTGTGTGCCCATCATTCTTAACTCTAATACAACCTTTCATTTACAGTGTCAAATAAATATCTTTTTAACAGTAATGAAATTACACTCTAGGATCTGTAAATTGATGAGCATAATAAAGTGCAATTTATTATTGAAATCCTCTGATGAAAACTAGGTGAAACTGTATAATCTGTTCTCCCACGCATTTATTATAAATATTTATGAGCACCTTTTATTTTTAGCAAATGACAAATTTTGACTGAGATTATTTACATGGAAATATAAAAAATCTTTAAATATTATCTCAAGTATTACCAATTGATTCAAACATCATAATTAATTCATTGCACAGTAAAATTATTACTTTTATTATTATTATTATTTTAGCATTATATATTCAAGGTGACAAGCTAAACCCAAAGAGGTCATACAATTTCTTGGGAATAGTAGGCACTCAGGCTTGATCTCAGGAAGGAAGGGCAGCTTCAGTTCCTTGTATCAATAGTATCAAGGCACCTCTCCTCCTCTTTGTGGTGCACACAGAATGGAACATAAATAAACTTCAACAGGAATTCTCTTGAATTTTAGTGATGCTGCTTGTGAAGTGTTTCAACAGCATATGCTGTGTGAGCTCTTCGCTAGGAGTGTGGTGAGGATTTTGCCCAAATCTGGGCAGGTAATTGAGAGGTAATGAGTTTCCTCAAAAACAGAAAAAAAAAAGAAGTGGGAACAAGTTGTTCCTACTTGGGTGAGGTGGCTCCCTAAACCTCAGCAGTCAAACCATACCCCCGGCCGGGATTGAACCCGCGGTATGGTTTGTTTGCAATCGTGTCATTACGATTTCTCAGCAGTCAGACACCCGTACCCCCATCTCTAGCCCAGTCAACAAAGACAGGGTTATTCCCAAGCCTATAAGAGCTGATGTATAGTTCCCTGACCAACTGACTGGTGGGTTGTGTGTGACGAGGATGAGCGTCGCAGGAAGAAAACAGAAAAAATTCGTTGATGCTCCAGGCAAGAGCAGAACCAAACGTCTACTCTTGATGAAGACTGGCAGCAGACATCCAAGTATACGAGTACTTAGTCCCCAAATGTATGTTATGTTGAGCCAGAGAGCAAAAAATTTAGTTTAGGTGTAACTTAAAACATTTTCAAAATAAATTTAATTTTATTACATTATTGAGAAATCCGTATCAGACCTAAAATTTGTTGCCTTGTAAAATTTGATCATATTATTGTTTGTGTACTATTGCTCTGTTGGATCAAATGATTTATATATTAAAGATAAAGATTTTATTTCTTTGCAAAGGTTACAATGTGTAATTACAATTTTGATTCATTAAGAACAAAGAAAGCCACTATCATGCCAGGGCATTTCAGGCAGACTAAACCTAATGCTTATGGACTACCTAATACTAGACATATAAAGAATAGTAAATTTTAATTATACATTGTTTTCCTTATTGGCAATATTCTTTATTTTTCCTTGTTGGCAATAATTATAATTTGCAATTCTCACATTATGTCAGCAAACAGTGCAACTCTATTATTTGTATATAAAATAGTCCAGTGACCCTGATTATACTACTTACTACAGCAGAAACACTTATGTACTTATCAAACACTCCTTAGTTATATTGTAAGTTTAATTTTTCCAAAATAAAATGTATAAGTTGTAAAACAAGGTTTTACAGGAAATCTTATATGTATTTATTATTTACAAAAAAAAAAAATTCTAATTTTATCCTAATCCTAATCAATACTAAAAAATTAATTGACTCATGTTACTTGACTAATAAATCTCATAGAAGAAAATGAAAGCTACAAAGCTTTTTCTTTTGTTCACAATTTCTTGTTTCATCACAGCACTTGTATTACTGTTTCTCTAATAACAACACCAAAAAATTCAGTTTATTTTACATTACAATGCTTAATGCTTTTAACAATACATTTTATGATTTATTGTTTTAATTTGCAGTACAGTGGAACCTCGGTTTTTGTATGCCCTAGTATGTAAAACTATAGTTATTTTCTATAAAATGTATTTTTTGTTAATATATTTGGGTGTCTGGAATGGATTAATTGGATTTACACAATTTCTTATGGGAAATATTATGTATATCTTACGGGAAATATTATGTATATTACAAAAATTCCTGAGAAGAAATTATAGATTCACAAAAATACAACAGGAAGAAAATGAGAGAAAACTTACTGACACTGAAATTATACAGTATATTGTATTAGGCATGGTCAAGAGAGCTTATATTTCTTGTGAGGTTCATAATAAGTACATTTCAAGCATGCTTATAGCTAACAGGTATAATAATTACAGTAGTGCACTCACCTAACTTTTACAGGAGGGCCCCACTTATACAGCAGGTTAGGTTTTGGGTTACTGTAGGGCCCCACTTATACAGCAGGTTAGGTTTTGGGTTACTGTAGGGCCCCACTTATACAGCAGGTTAGGTTCCAGGTTACTGTAGGGCCCCACTTATACAGCAGGTTAGGTTCCAGGTTACTGTAGGGCCCCACTTATACAGCAGGTTAGGTTTTGGGTTACCGCTGTAAAACAAAAATCACTGTAAAGTGAAACACAGACTTTTTTCACTTTCAAATGCATATAAAAGCCTAATAACATGTTTACACTATTATATATTAAATAAGCAATAGAGCTAGACCTAAAAAATGTATATACAGTACACACATTACTTATCATAAAATATTTTCATCCTGAGCTTTGAGTGAGTGGTGAATATATTTATTGTAGGAAGTCCGAATAAATGAAGAATGGGTATAATTGAAAACCACTGTATTCGTGAAATGCTGTAAAACAAAGCACTGTAAAGTGCTGCCCTCCTGTATTTAAAATATCAGCAATAAGTTTGATAGATGCTTGGAAAATTGGGGTAACTGAGGTAACAGTCAACCTTTCATGTAAAGTGCTTCAAATAACTTCTGATACCCACTTTACCATATTTTTAGGAATTACAGTTGTGGTCGAGTGCAGCAGCGATGTGAGGTATGGTGAATGTTTGTTGTGTGTGGGATGTGGATAGAGCTCTTCCTCCTTACCAGTATTTTATAAATAAAATTTTATTTCTTTGCTAAGCTTAAAATGTGTATTTACATTTCAAAATTTGATTAGTACAAAGAAAGCCACTATCATGCTGAGGCATTTTGGGCAGACTTAACCTAATACTTATAGACTAAAGTACACCGTCATTTAGCACGAGTTTATTTGGCATGATTCAGGTATAGCACAATTGAAGAATTGCAGACAATTTTATGTAACACGTCGTAAAATTAATTTAACACGGTTCAGTTTGTGGGAAGGAAAAAAAATTCCCCTTTCCTCAAGCGGCCGCCTCGTTGTGGATCAGCAGGGGAGACCTCCCGCCATCCCCTGCCACCCTCCAACACCACCCCACCATCCGAGCACTCATACTTCATATGCGTCCAGTCTTTCTTCTCTGCTACAAGCTAGCTGTGTTTGTGAACTGTGGTAAACATAAGTTTGTGTGACTGATTGACTGACCTGACTGAATGACTTACTGAATGACTTGACTGACTTACTGAATGACTTGACTGACTTATTGAATGACTTAATAACTGACTTACTGAATGACTGAATGACTTGTATGACTTACTGAATGACTTGACTGACTGACTTACTGACTTGATTGACTGACTTACTGACTTGACTGACTGACTTTACTGAATGACTTGTCTGACTGAATGACTTGACTGACTGAATGACTTACTGACTGACTGAATGACTTGACTTACTGACTTGACTGACTTACCGAATGACTTGACTGACTTACTGAATGACTTGACTGACTTACCGTATGACTTGACTGACAGACTGAATGACTAAATTAGACACTCCAGTACAGCTATCAACTTCAGTACCAGAACTCTACCATCCACTCAACCCAGTAGGGCCACAGCATAACTCTCCACTCTCTTCACAATCATCCACAAACACCAGCACCCACAATTTAAGGTAAGAAATACTATTATTTCTGTTATATTTGTAGTCTTAAGCAGTAAAAAAAAAAAAACATAATAGATCACAACAATGAACTTCAATTACATATTCACTTTTTATTTTTGTAAGAAGTGGGGCTCTCAGGAACGTAACCCTATTTTTCCTCTAAGTTCTTCAATTCATCTAACACGGTTTTACCTAGCACGGCATTTTCAGAAATGTAACTACTGTGTTAAATGACGGTCTACTGTACTGAAGTCTAGACAGGTGAAGAGTGGTAGAATACAAATATTCAATATTTTACTCTGTTATTAATATCAGGTAGCATAATTAAAGATACAAACATACATTTTTAAGTTTGTATTAATGGCTTAATAGTTAAGGGATAATAAAATATTTGGGAGAGTTGCTTCAAATTTGGTTAGAGTATAGCATAGTGTGGGTATGGTTGTTACTGAGAGACAAGAAGATTTTTGAGTATAGTCCTAAATTGATTTGTAGGCAGGGGATCTCTTGCTGTTTCAGGCAAAGAGTTACAGATCTTCAGGCCCTTTATATGCATTGCATTTTTGCATAGTGTGAGACAGACATAAGGGATGTCGTGTTATGCTTTGGAGTTTAACCCTTAAACGGTCCAAACGTATATATACGTTCACTCGCATAGCGCCCCAAATTTTTTGAGGAAAAAAAATCTTTTCTTTTAAAAGGAAAAAAGAGCATATGGTACCCAGGCATCCCCAATTATTTTAATATGGCACACAGTGAGTGTGCACACCCATTCTCTCATGGCTAGGTGACTCAGGCTTATTGTGGCAATGTTGAATGAATGACAAAGAAAACGTATATATACGTTTGGGGCGCTACGCGTGTGAACGTATATATATGTTTGGACCATTTAAGGGTTAATGTTCTGTATACATATATAGTAGGTACAGTAATAAATGTGTATATTTTGCATATTAAGTTCAAACTTTTGAAGAGTGGTGGGGTGTGTTGTCTGGTGCTGAAGTTTGTGATCATCTGCACCACTGCTTTTTGTTGGGTTATTAAAGGTTTAAGGTAACTGGCCATGGTAGATCCCCAAGCACAAAAACCATAGGTGAGGTAAGGGTATATTAGAGAGTGATGTAAAGTAAGGAGTGCTCTTTGAAGTACATAGTATCGTATCTTGGAAAGGATACCTACCGTTTTTGAAACTTTCTTAGTTATATGCTGGATGTGGGTTTGAAATTTAAGAATCCAGTCAAGGTGGAGACCTAGAAATTTGCCCTCAGTGTGTCCTGTAATGGGTGAACCATTTAGTGATATGTTTAGCTGGATATTTAATGCTCTGTTTCCAAAAAGCATGAAGCAGGTTTTGTCTATATTGAGAGTAAGTTTGTTGGTCGTCATCTAGTTTGATATTTTATGTAGCTCACTGTTGACAGTGTTACTAAGCATAGCCTGGTTTGGGTGCGAGTAGACGTAAGTGGTGTCATCTGCGAATAAACTGGTTTAAGGAGTCGCAGCGCATTTGGGAGGTCATTGATGTAAATAAGAAAGAGTAGAGGACCTAGGACACTTCCTTGTAGCACTCCAACAACTACAGGCTGAGTGTTGGAGGTCACGCCATTTGTGTATACATACTGTACTGGTATCTACACAAGATAAGATTTTAGGTAATTGAGAGTGTCCTCTGACCCCATAATGTTCTAGTTTTAGGTGCAAGATACTATTGTGGTCTACTGTATCAAATGCTTTCCATAGGTCTATGAAGAGCCCAAGAGGATATTCATTTTTTCAATTGCTGTATATAGTAATTAGAGCATCTGAATAACTGCATCATTCGTGCTTTTTTTCAGCCTAAACCCAAAATGGCAGGGGTTCAGTATGTTATGGTATAGGAGGTAGGAGTAGATTTGTTTGTGTATTATTAATGTTTTGAAGACTTTAGATAACAAAGGCAAGTTCGATATTGGTCTGTAGTTTAGTTCTGTAGGATTGCCTCCTTTGAGGATCGAGGTGACCCCTGATGTCTTGAGTATGAATGAGAATGTTGAAGATTCAACAGATTTGTTAAATAGTGTTCAATAATAGGCAACAGCACATGGGCTGCTTTTTTATACTTGATTGGTGGCAAGTTATTTAGGTCTCCTGCTTTGTTTTTAATGATTTAATTATTAGTCATACTTCAGCAAGATTTGTTGGTGCTGTACATAGAGTATGTGGGCAATTATCAGTGAGGTAGTCTTGTGGTTGAGTACTGTATTTGCTTCTGGGATTTTGCTTGCTAGTTTTCATCCTATAGTAGAAAAGAAGACATAAAGTTTGTTGGCAGTGTCTATAGGCTGTATGTGTGGTTTGTCTGGTTTTGCTAAGTTAATCTCTCTGTTTCTAGACAGTTTGCTAGAGCCCAAAACTTCAGAGAGAGTTTTCCAGGTCTCTTTCATATCACTTTTTATTTCATTAAATCTGTTTACATAATACATTTGTTTGGACTTCCATATTAGATTAGTAAACACTGAGGTGTATTTAATTATTTCTTTTGTTATTAGGCCCTGTCTGAATTGTTTTTCACATAGATGTTTTTTACCGATGGATTTAAGTACAGTGTACAGGAGGGCCCCACTTATACGGTGGGTTAGGTTCCAGGCTACCGCCGTAAAGCGGAAACTGCCGTAAAGTGGAACACCCTTTTTTTCCACTTACAAATGCATACAAACACTAGATAACAAGTTTACACTAACATATATTATGTTAGCAATAGAACCAGGCATCAAAAAACAATAAAAAAGTACAATACACACATAGTGCACTCATTACTTACCTTAAAATATTTATAGTCTTAATCTAGGGTGAGACAAGCAGTGTTTATTGTAAGAAATCAAGTGTGGTATGTATGGTAGTCAGCCAGGCTACCATACCAGGCCACCCACCCACACATACTATTCTATGATATTTAAGCATCCCAGAGCGATAAAATGTATATACAGTTCACTCATTACTTACCTTAAAATATAGGGTGAGATGAGTAGTATTTATTGTAAAAAATCAAGTGTGGTATGTATGGTAGTCAGCCAGGCTACCATACCAGAGAGAAAGAATGAGTGCATGAGAGAGGACAGGCGCAGTTATGTAAACAAACCAGGCGAAGGTAAGTTTTGTAAACAGTGTACACGTCTGGTTTGTGTACAAGTTACATTGTGTACAGGTTGTCTACATTGATACGGTAGAATAAATAAAGAAGAACACTCCCATTCTCATGTAACATCATTTTGAGAAGAAATGATGCTCTGAGTGAAGGCAATGGAAGTAAAAGTCACTCTGACTTTTTTGGGTTATCCTAGGTTCTCTTCACATATGTTATGTATTTATGTTATGTATCGTGTTTATTATATAATTTTGAAAAAAAATATCACGGATGGATTAATGAAAATGTGTATATTAACGTAATATACAACATTTAATGATACACCGAGCTCAGACAGCGTAAACAAACAAACAAACTGAACAGGTTGTGGACGATCACTCGGTCAGGCGAAATAGACGGTATTAATACGTGTCCAGTTTTAGTTCATTCATGTACATTTGTAAGAGTTTGTGAAACTTTTACCTTATAATATTTTTATTATTATTATAATAATTAAATCACGAAACAAATACTCTTACACTGTGTACAAGTTAGTACAGAATTATAGCTATAAAGTGAAGGCATACGAAAGCAATATTTTTCTACAGTTATCCCTAGTAACAGGTGACGGGCTAGAGAAAACATAATTCTTCCGAAACTTCTACAAACCGT